AATGTACTCATTAATGATAATTTATCCATTATTATTATATTATTAATATATTAATTTTTATTTGCTAAATAATTATCAATTATTAATTAACTTAATATATTAATTTAATATTATTAATTACATGTACTCAAAACAAACATAAATGTAACCAAATACGATTTCATTTTTTATCATTATTCAAACCAATCTCTTAAAAGACTGCCAAACGTAATTTCAGAATCGGTTTCATAATGATTTTCAAAACAATCTCATTTTCATTTTTGTACTGAAAACAAAACTATGTTAAAAATATTACTAAACGGGCCCAAAACAACCTTTTTTTTATGGTTCAAACCTCAAGTTCAAACTATATATGATTCAAACACAAAGGCCCTGTTTGTTTCCGTTTTCATTTCCATTTTTTACGTTTTTCGAGACTAAAAAATGAAAATAAAAACAAAAAATGCGTTTGGCCTAAAAATTTTTTAAAAACAAAAACAAAACCGTTTTTGTCTTTTGTGAAAAATTGAAAACGAAAAAAAGGTGTTTTCATTTTCTCGTTTTCATTTTCTGAAAACGGATTTCTTTTTTTTTTTCATTTTCTTCTCTCTCTTTTCTGAAACCATTTTTGTCTTATATAATGATGTTTATTTAATATATTTATTTACTATATTATTTATTTAATATATTATTATTTTAAATATTGTTACACGTTTTCAAAAATTAAACCACCAAACGCAGTTTCAGTTTTTTTTAAAACTGAAATCAATCTCTGAATATAACTACCAAACGCATTTCAGAAATAATTTCAAAATGAAAATGAAAACGTTTTCATTTCTATTTTCATACAGAAAACAAAAACATTTTGGAACCAATTCCAAACGCACCCAAAGATTCATGATTTGAACTCAAAGTTTAAACTACACAATTCAAAACCCACATGGTTCAAAATAATTCTGATGTAAACCTTCATATGAAACGGATCCTTAATGCGCCTGCTAGACCCACGACGAGTGCAACGTTCAATTTCATGGCCCATTAAATTTAGGAGGAATGAAGTGAATAGAATAATTTAAAACTTTTTAAAGTAAATAGTAGTAAATTAAAAATTTATATAGTAAAAAAAATGTTTTTACCACATAATTCTAGTCATAAAAATAAAATTTATATGATTTTTTAACCACTTAAATACAGTCATAAATAAAAAAAACTACAAGGTAAACTCTTTTTTCTGTTATTTACTTTAAATATTTAAAAATATGCTATTTATTTAATTTAATTTAAAATTTTGTTATTTACTAAATTTTTATTAAAATTTTTAAAATAATTAAGATGCGTCTACAATTAGATAATATTATGAATATGGCTATTCTGTGATTATTGAGGTATACTATCATTCTAAATGTATACTTTTTTTTTCATTGACAGGGATGAATTTGTAATACTTTTTTTTTTGCGAAAACGTGATGGCTAATTTTAAGAAATGGTTAACCGTTAACATAGCACAAGATACTGTAATGTGCAAATATCACTATTTGTTGACATTTCTTTTCCCTTTTTAATGTTATTAGATTCTCTGTTAATAAAATTACTTTTAAGGATAATAATATCTTAAAAAAAATATTTAGTACACACCCCACCATTGAAAATATATATTACCTTCTAAACATTATTGTGTCATACTTTTTTAAAAGAATAAAGATGGATTTCAACGTGGAAAAACCTCCTCACAAAAGGCTAAATGTTTTAATTTTTCTTTAAAATTTTTTTTATTCAATTATTTTGATATTTATATCAACAGTTTTGAAAATTTCGTGATTTGTTAAAAAAAAATTTAAAGAGAAAAGGTTTCTTATGATCAAAGTAAAAGCAATTAAGGAATTTGTAATGGGCTTATGGCTCTTGCCAACCATCCTGCTGTATGGTATGAGTCGGTGATAACTCTAGGATTTAGAGTTATTTGAGGCATTTCTAAGCTTATAGTTGGCTCATCCAAAGTTTAGTTGTTAGTTTTCTGCTTTATTTGCTCAACTTTTGGGTTCATTTAGTGCACTCTACTGAGATTCATTTGTGTGTGGTTTCTGTGTTAATTTTGAAGAAAATTGTTAACGTGTCGTTTCTTATTTGCAGATTTTGTGATGATAAATGTTGCAGCAATCGCTACAGCAAAAATGTGACAGCATGCACGAGAATTAAGACACAGAACACATAAGACGAAATTGGTGCCTAGTCAGCTGGACCGAACATGCCACCTCAGCGTCCTGGGTTGCCCTAAAGAGGGATGCATCTGAAAACTCAAAGAAGAGGGGGAGACGCCGCGGGAAGCAATTAAGGAAGTAAGAGGAGAAAATAGAGGAGAGACCCGTCGAGAGGAAAAAATGCAGCAGAGAGTAAAAGAAAACAAGACCAGAGATAGAGAGGGAGGCAAACAAGTACGTAGGAGACACATTTTTTGCTGGAAATCTCAGGGAGTGAAGCCACGGGAGGAATCCACCAAGCTTCACCTAATCTTTACTGTTGTCCTCCTCATTTTGGTTTATCTTTCCTCTTACTCTGTATTCAATTCATGGCTGTGTATTTTGTTGAAATTAACAGAGCCAGTATGAGCTAAACTTATTTGACTAGGATGATAAAGTACCCGAAACTGTAATCAACGATTGTTTATGCTCACTTTGTCTATTTTGATGCTGTTCTAGTTTGTTCAATATAAACGTTATAGTTCATTTCTGTTTACTGACTGGCCATCTTAAATAGAATATTGTGAGTTCAATTTGCTGGAAAGTTGATTGGATTTAGACCAATGTTGAACAATGTGTTGTTTAGCTAAGTTTCACAGAGAAATCTAGTTGATTTGCGAGTAGTATAGGAATATACACTTGCCTCGCATAGCCCAATTGAAACCCACACTTAACTTAACCTCTATATTTAGATTTCTCATAGTAAAGAGGTGAAATCACAACCAGATTAGAAGATTCTTGTGCTAAATTCGTGTTTCAGATTAACTAACAACATTGCTGTAGCAAAAGTCGTAGCATAAATAGCCAGATTGCAGGGAAGGGGAAATTGAGTCACAGTTTTTCACATAGATTGATTTTCTCCTTTGATAACTTAGTGCGCATTTATTTACTTGTGTTTATTGCAATTCTTGTAGTCTTCGCAATTGAATCAAACCATTAAATTTGTTTCTGTTGCATTTATTGGATCTTATTAAGAAAAATATATTGATAACTTTCTTAGTGGGAACGATACTCTACTCACACTTTATTACTTGAGGTGACTCGTGCACTTGCGAGCACATAAATCACGCAACAAGTTTTTGGCGCCGTTGCCGGGAAACGTTATCATAGTTGATCTTTGTAAGATTCAAGTGTGTTCGTTAATTTACTTAATAATTTTGTTTCCGCATATTTTAGAAAATCTTTTTCTCGCATGAATCGACAACAAGACCGTGATTTGCTGCCCTTGGACCCAGAAAATTGAACGAACGTTCCTAGCAAGAAGAAAGGAGCAGCAAGGTCTAACGTTTGTTGAAGGAATGGCAGAGGAAGCTGCCGGCAATGCAGGCAACCTTGGGCAACCTGTAAATGTTAACAATCCAGTTAACCAGCCAGCCATGGCTGATGACAGGGATAGGGCCATCAGAGAATATGCCATACCGATTTTACATGGGCTCAATCCGGGCATCATTAGGCCAGAAATACAGGCACCTCAGTTTGAACTTAAACCGGTCATGTTTCAAATGTTGCAAACAGTGGGTCAATTTAGTGGCATGGCAACTGAAGATCCTCACTTGCATCTCAGGCTATTCATGGAAGTTTGTGATACGTTTAAGCTTCCAGGGGTTACAGAGGAGGCTTTGAGACTGAAGCTCTTCCATTATTCCTTGAGGGATAGAGCTAGAGTATGGTTGAACTCTCTACCACCGGACTCTGTTGCAACATGGAATGATTTGGTAGAGAAGTTTTTGATGAAGTATTTCCCTCCAACTAAGAATGCCAAGCTTAGAAACGACATCACTGGATTTCAGCAACATGAAGGGGAATCGTTGTATGAGGCATGGGAAAGGTTTAAGGAATTGTTACGCAAATGCCCTCATCATGGAATTCCTCATTGGATTTAAATGGAAACGTTCTACAATGGACTTAATGGGCAAACTCGGACCATAGTAGATGCTTCAGCGAATGGTGTTATTTTGGCAAAGACGTACAATGAGGCCTATGAGATTTTGGAACGGATGGCTAATAACAACTATCAATGGCCTGCGGAGAGAGCAGCTACGGCTAGGAGAGTAGCAGGAGTGCATGAGGTGGATGCAGTGACCGCTTTAACCGCTCAAGTATCATCCTTGGCAAGTATCTTGAAATCAATGAATCAGGGGGTGAATTCTCCTCAATTTACAGCGGTCTCTTGTACTTACCGTGGTGAAGGGCATCTCTTTGATAGTTGTCCATCCAATCCAGAATCAACATATTATGTGGGTAATTTCAACAAAAACAACAATCCGTATTCCAACACTTATAACCCAGGTTGGAGGCAGCACCCAAATTTTTCTTGGAACTCTCAAGGGCAAAACACAGCATCTACTTCAACAGCAAACCGCCCTCAATATCCTCCTGGATTTCCACAACAGTCAAGACATCAACTGGTGAAACAATACTCATCGATTGAGCACTTGTTAAAGGGGTATATGGCAAAGAATGATGCCATTATTCAAAATCAGTCATCACTGATTCAGAACCAAGTAGCTTCATTGAGAAACTTGGAGAATCAAGTGGGGTAGTTAGCTAATGCCTTGACAAGTTGCCTTACAGGCACACTCCCAAGTAATACCGAAGATCCCAGGCGTGAAAGCAAAGAGCATTGGAAGGCTATTACGCTGAGGAATGGGAGAGAAGTAGAGCGAGTGACTAAACAGCCCAAGTGACGAAAAGAGCCCTCTTCAATCCAAGGTGAAGTGGAAAAGGAAGCAGAAGTGGAAGAATCTGAAAAACGAAGCGATGCTGCAGAACCTACAGTAAAACCTACAGCAACGCTGCAGTAAAGTTCGGCATAAAAGTAGAATGATAGACCACCGCCACCTTTTCCTTAAAGATTTCAAAAGCAGCAGCAAGATAAGCAGTTTAAAAAGTTTCTAGATGTCTTGAAGCAACTCCATATAAACATTCCATTGGTGGAGGCGTTTGAGCAAATGCCTAGTTATGTGAAATTCATGAAGGACATTCTTTTGAAGAAAAGAAGACTTGGAGAATTCAAAACAGTGGCAATGACGAAAGAAAGCAGCGCCATCTTGCAGAATAAAACCCCTCCAAAGTTAAAAGATACTGGGAGTTTCACCATCCTATGTGCTATTGGCAATAACTACTTTAGCAAGGTTCTCTGTGATTTAGGAGCAAGTATAAATCTTATGCCTATGTCAATTTTCAATAAGCTTGGAATCGGGAAAGCACGGCCAACCACAGTAACTCTTCAATTGGCTGATCGATCTCTAGCTCATCCAGAAGGAAAAATTAAAAATGTCATGGTGAAAGTAGACAAGTTCATCTTCCCCGCTGATTTTATTATTTTGGATTATGAAGCTGACAGGAAAGTGCCCATCATTTTAGGAAGACCATTCCTACCAACAGGGAGGACATTAATAGATGTGTAAAAAAGGGAGGTGACAATGAGAGTTAATGATGAGCAAGTTACCTTTAATGTTCTCAAGGCAGTGAGATCCCCTGATGAAGTGGAAGAATGCTATGTTGTGAATGTGATTGATACTTTTGTTTTTAACGAGTTAGAGCAAGCTTGCTATAAAGACCCTCTAAAAATCACAGCACTGGCAGAATTGGAAGAAAAAAATGCAGAAGTGAGTAGTCAGTTGCCTTGTTTGGAAGCAAGATCAACCGGTACAGCTAGAGGAAGGCAGTTTGAGCCTTTGGGGCTATCCGAACGTGAGCTCAAACCACCTAGACCATCTATAGAAGAACTCCCATTCTTGGAGCTAAAACGTTTGCCATCCCACCTTCGATATGCATTCTTGGGAGAAATAAAAACGCTACCAGTTATTGTATCAGCTGAACTAACTGAAGACCAGGAGCAGAAGTTACTTGAGGTGCTGAGGAATTTCAAAAAAGCAATAGGATGGACAAGTGTAGATATCAAGGGAATCAGCCCATCCATATGCATGCATAAGATTTTGCTAGAGCAATGCTACAACAATTATGTGGAACAACAAAGAAGGCTAAATCCAATCATGAAGGAATTTGTAAAGAAAGAAGTCATTAAATGGTTGGATGTAGGGATCATTTGGTTCTCATCTCTGATTTTAGGGCTATGTGAATTGCACGAAGTAGTATTCGAGGGTGGAGAGAAAAGGCTGAAGATAACTTAAAAGATTATTCCAGCTACAGTGACTAGGATTTCACAAGAAAGCAATGTTAAGAGAGCCAGGTTTGACCACTCTGATAAAGACCCTCCAGAGACACCAACTCAACCTTCCTCAAACAATCCCACACCTCCCCCGAGCGCTAAGAACTCGGTGTCCAGTCACTTATCTAGTTTAGAGAGCATGATTTCTCTTGTTTAGCTAACTCAACATGACTTTCTTGAGGAGCTTCGGCTAGCCCGAAAAAGTCAACAGGACGTGTGGAAGTATATGGAGGCCCGAGATGTTGCAATGTAAAGACCCTTCAGGGCAAATACCAAAAGGTTCAACACATTCCCCGAATTTTCCACGCATGTTCTCGATCCATTTGCTGGTCAGCCCGCCGATGACACAGATATTGTAGCGGGAGCAGATGATTAGGGCCAGATCACAGCTTCTAGCCCTTCAAGGATGCCCCTCCACCCTTATTTTTCTTGTGTTATTTCTTTTATCTGTTTAGTCAATTTGTGTTTTTGTTTTGTGCCTTATTTCTTTTTCAATAGTGAGGACACTGTTGATTTCAAGTTTGGGGGGGTGTATTTCCTGTTTGTGTGGAGACCGGTTTGTTCTATTTAGATTGGTTATTTCCTGGTTTTTGTGTTTTGTTATTTTTGGTGTGTTTTGTGTGTAGGGAGAGTCTCTTTTTGTCAATTTTTGTGGTGTGAAAGGTGTGTGGTTTTCAATGATGAGGTAGGCTAAGTCAAGGCATGCTTTTGTGATAGATTAACTTGAATTGGATGTAAGTGAAAACCTATAGAACCTGACTTTTGAATGTAATTCTCTATGCAACTCTTTCCACAACATTCGTAGTGTTACTTCCCGAGAGCTTATTGATGGCTAGATCGTTGTGAGAGCTTAGGTTTCTAGAGTTGACCTAGAGACTCCTTTGAGGTGAAATTCTAGGAAGGCTAGTATGAGGAGGACGACTGAGACAAAGATCTAATTAATGACACCATTCTGTTTAGTTTGTAAAAAATAAAAATAAAAAATAAAAACAATTACTCCGCTGTCTTGGTGCTTAGTAACCATGAGTGAGCATGAGCCCCATGTTCACTTTTGCGTCAAACGGTAAACCGAGATAAGAGTATGCAAAGCACTTTGAATTGCGACATTGTTGAGTAACCGGGTGTCTTCATCACAAATGTTGGCATTCGCGTAAAAAGGCAATTGTGGCATTACAAGGAAGTTAAAAAAACAGAGAGAAAGATAAGATTAAAAATCAGAAGAATTGGAAATTAGGTGTCAAGTTGAGAAGAAGTTGAGTCTTAAGTCTGATTCCAAGTGCTAAGTGATTCTTCATTAGTGGAGAAGGAGTCAATAGGTCAACATATGGAGACACTTCTAGGCTTGGTGATTGTGGTCTAGGGTGAAGTGGGTGATCGGGAAGAAAGCACTATTGATGTGTATACACACACACACCAGGGAAGAGCATTTGAAATGAAGGAGAAATGGGCCGATCTTATAATTCAAAGACAGTTGGTGTAGAGCTTAAGTGTGCAAAAGAAAAAATAAAAGAAAAAAAAAAGAAAAAAAAAAGAGCCTCTGAGAAACTTAGCCACACACCATGAACGCACATAGTTGACTGAAAAGGGAATTATCTTAGTGTCATTTTTTTGTGTTGTCTTTGTAGTGTCATTGCTCGAGGACGAGCAATACTTTAAGTTTAGGGGTGTGATAACTCTAGGATTTAGAGTTATTTGAGGCATTTCTAAGCTTATAGTTGGCTCATCCAAAGTTTAGTTGTTAATTTTCTACTTTATTTGCTCAGCTTTTGGGTTCATTTGGTGTACTCTACTGAGATTCATTTGTGTGTGGTTTCTGTGTTAATTTTGAAGAAAATTGCTAACGTCTGCCCAAAATAGTGTCGTTTCTAATTTGCAGATTTGTGATGATAAATGTTGCAGCAATTGCTACAGTAAAAATGTGACAGCATGCACAGAAATTAGCACACAGAACACATAAGACGAAATTGGTGCCTAGTCAGCTGGACCCAACATGCCACCTCAGCGTCCTGGGTTGCCCTAAATAGGGATGCATTTGAAAACTCAAAGAAGAGGGGGAGGCGTCGCAGGAAGCAATTAATGAAGTAAGAGGAGAAAATAGAGGAGAGACCCGTAGAGAGGAAAAAAGGCAGCAGAGAGTAAAAGAAAACAAGACCAGAGAAAGAGAGGGAGGCAAACAAGTACGTAGGAGACACATTTTTGGCTGGAAATGTCAGGGAGTGAAGCCACGGGAGGAATCCACCAAGCTTCACCTACTCTTTACTGTTGTCCTCCTCATTTTGGTTTATCTTTCCTCTTCCTCTGTATTCAATTCATGGTTGTGTATTTTGTTGAAATTAACAGAGCCAGTATGAGCTAAACTTATTTGACTAGGATGATAAAGTACCCGGAACTGTAATCAACGATTGTTTATGCTCACTTTGTCTATTTTGATGCTGTCCTAGTTTGTTCAATATAAACGTTATAGTTCATTTCTGTTTACTAACTGGCCATCTTAAATAGAATATTGTGAGTTCAATTTGCTGGAAAGTTGATTGGATTTAGACCAATGTTGAGCAATGTGTTGTTTAGCTAAGTTTCACAGAGAAATCTAGTTAATTTACGAGTAGTATAGGAATATACACTTGCCTCGCATAGCCCAATTGAAACCCACGCTTAACTTAACCTCTATATTTAGATTTCTCATAGTAAAGAGG